ACATCAGATAGTTTACAACTGCCCAGAACTCCAGCTCCAGGGGACCCAACGCCATTTTCTGGCTTCTGTGGGCACCTGCATTCATGTGCAAATACATATGTGCAAATGCATAATTTAAAAAATAAAATAACTTAAAAGTGGTTACTTTCTCATTCATCATCAAATAGGCACCACTGGGGCCAGAAGGCTCTACAGGTGCAGAGGACGCACCCACATCTGCCTGCTCACAATTGCCAGTAACTCCAGTTCTGGAGCAGTGGTTCTCAATCTGTGGGTCACGACCTCTTTGGGGTTTGCATATCAAATATCCTGTATACCAGATATTAACATTAAGATATCATATCAGTAGCAAAATTAGAGTTATGAAATAGGAACGAAAAAATTTTATGGTTGGGGTCATCATAACATGAGGAACTGTATTGAAGGAAGGCGAGAGCACAACAGTAGTGATTGAGAGCCACTGCTCTAGAGGATCTAACAGCCTCTCACTGCCGCAAGAGTCTGCATGAACACACTGTACATACGTACACATAAAACAATAAAAACTAATAAATATTCCTTAAAAACCCACCTTACTTGAAGAGATCAGCCACAAATATTTTTTTAATATTCTTTGTTAGGCAGCAAAAAATTGGCTATTTGTTTTGTTTTTTTAAATGGGTATCATCATACAGCCCAGGCTGGCCTCACCTAACCCTTTCCTCGACCTCTGAGGTGACTGGGGATTAAAGGTATGTACTACCAAGCCTGGCAAAAATTGGCATAAAAATTATGGAAGTTGTGATGGTTATTATTGGTTGTCAACTTGACTAGATCTGGAATTAACTTAAACACAAGTGGTTGGGTACACCAGGGAGGGATATTTTTTCTTAATTAAATCATCTGAAGTGGGGAGAACGACTTTAATCTGAGTCACACCTTCTGCTGGCAGGCTAAAGGACATGGAAGAAGGAAGCTTTCTGCCTGCTTGCTCTCAGTGGCAAATCCATTTCTTCACTGGCATTAGAACCTACTTCCTTGGAATTCTGGCACACGCTGAAGCCAAGCTGAGACATCCAGCCTTGTGGACTGAATAACCTCTGGACTGTTAGACCAGACCTTCTGTTGGTAGACAGCCATTGCTAGACTAGCTGGAACACAGCCCATACACCATTCTAATAAATCTCTCTCTCTCTCTCTCTCTCTCTCTCTCTCTCACACACACACACACACACACAGAGAGAGAGAGAGAGAGAGAGAGAGAGAGAGAGAGATTCATTCTGTAAGTTCTGTTCCTCTAGAGCACGCTGACTTATCCTCAAGTCATCAACTCTACCACAAGATAAGAAGTGAATGATAACCTAACTACTTTGCCCACGGGGAGACAAGGAATGGAGTCTCTTCGTGTACTTGTATGGGTAGAAGTATAAAACTACACATATATCTGTGTCGATGGAAGCTAGAGGACAACCTAAGGTGTCATTTCTTAGGAGCTATCCACCTTATTTTGCTTATTTATTTAATTTTAAAAATACTGTGTGTGTGTGTGTGTGTGTGTGTGTGTGTGTGTGTGTGCGCGCGTTCACCCCCACAAGAGCCAGAAGGCATCCGATCCCTTGGAGCTAGGGTTCCAAGCAGCTGAGAGTTGCCAGATGTAGATACTGATAACCAAAGTCTGGTTCTCTGCAAGCGCAGCGCTCACTCTTAATGGCTAGTATATTTCTTTTTCTTAAAGTTTTATTTTTAGTATTTTTAATGGTGTGTGTGGACATGAGTGAAGGTACCCTCAGAAGCCAGAGGCGGCAGAGCTCGGAGCTAGAGTTGTATATGCGGTTGTCAGCCAATTGATGTGCATACTAAAGAACGAAGTCTGGTCTTCTGAAAGAGCACTCAGTGTTCTTAACCAAAGAACCATCTCTTTAGCTCCTATACATATATATTTCTTTCTGTTTTTGTTTGTTTGTTTGTTTTTCAAGATAGGGTTTCTCTTTATAAACAGCCTGGCTGTCCTGGAACTCTTTTTGTAGACCAGGCTGGCCTCAAACTCAGATCCTCCTGCCTCTGCCTCCCGAGTGCTGGGATTAAAGGCTTGTGCCATCACTGCCTGGCATATATTTTTTTTTTTTTTTTGGTTTTTCGAGACAGGGTTTCTCCCTGGCATATATTTTTAAGAAATAAAGAATAGCATTTGTCTGTGATAGCACTTTTAGAATCCCAAGAAACAGTGAAACACATGAAAATGCAAAAATAATGCAACAATGTTTACAAACCGATGCTGAGGTCCTCCAGTAATGAATGGTACTAGACAAACACAAACACCCGAGCTATAGGAAATAAGCCACCATCATCCAGTTCTGATCTTCTTGCACAAATCACGCGACTGCTTCTGAACTAAGCTGGAGTAGGAGAGGGAAACAGGTATAGTATGCAGGAAAAGTACCCAGATAATGCTTCTAGATATTCTGATTTACATTTACTGAGCCAGTTTAGGGGACAGAATAAATGGGCACTACTTCAAAGAGGTGGCAACTTGTTGGTATGCCTACAAATAAAAAACTACACAAAGGTCTTCAAATAGTTCCATTTCTTAAAATACATTGTTCAGTTAATTGTATATACAAACATATAACAAAATATCTAGAAGGATATTCATTGTATTCTTGTAAGAGAAAACCTAGAAACAAATGTTTAACATAAAGCCTAGTTACAAATACATGTAACAGTCCTATGTATAACAAAACAACAGCTTATTCTACAGCTGAATAACAAAATAAGAAATGCCAACACTGGTTGTTCTTCAAGAAGACCTGAGTTCAATTCTCTGTAACCAAATGGCAGTTCACAGTGGTCTATGGTTCTGGTTCCACAGACTCCAACAACCTTTCTGACCTCCAAGGACACCTGGCACATGAGTTGTACACAGACATATGTACAGGCAAAACAACCATATACACACACGTTTTAAATTAATTTTAAAAAAAGAAATGTCGATACAAAGAGTAAACAATACTTTGTGCTAATGAGGAAGGACTGTCAGGATTCAAATTCTGTTTCCTCGCCTGTCTACTCACTTCTAGTCCCGCAGAGTAGGAGGGAGCCCTTGTAATTATTGAAAAGATGAAGCAAGACAATTCATGTAAGGCATTTATTATATAGTCTGTCACAGGCAATAGAAAACAGCAATTATTATTACTCTAATAGCACCTATGATGTAACTGTTTATATCTACCCGTCCTGCATTGGTATATAATCTTCTCAAAGATAAGAATATGACTTTCTCACTTTCATTTAGAACCCCAAGTACTTTGTCTGGCAAATAGGTGGCATATGAATGTACTGAATCAAGGGGCTTGCTTTTCTGGTTCTGCATTCACCCACATACTAAGTCAGTGTCTAAAAGGTACCCAGTGACTAGTCTCCTGGATCCAACCAAGCCTTAGAGTGAGCTTATCAGGCCACTCGGGGCAGAGAGAGGGGAAAAGGAACTGAGTTTTTGGCCTTTCAAGGACAGATTAGAAGTAGGACATAAAACCTACCAGTCTCTCCCTGATGACTACTTCTGGGCACTGGGTGCCACAGAGATGGAGAGAGAGGGAATTAGAATATAAAAGTCCTAGCCCATACTCCAAGCAGGCCTGCAGGAAAAACACTAGTAAACATTGCTCTTGGCAAGTGGTTAAGAACCTACACATCCCTGTCCTCAAGCTTCCCAAATGAAAAGAGCTCTGAAGGAAAGCCAGGAACCTGGCAAGAAAAGGTGGGAGAAAAGGGAAAACCAGAAAGCAAAAACCAAGCCGGCGGTGGTGGCACACACTCGGGAGGCAGAGGCAGGTGGATCTCTGTGAGTTCGAGGTCAGCCTGGTCTACAAGAGCTAGTTTCAGGACAGGCTCCAAAGCTACAGAGAAACCCTGTCTCGAAAAGCCAAAGGGGGAAGAAAAGAAAAAAAAAAAAAACACCAAAAACCGCCACAAGTATGAAGGATCAGGCAAACAGCTCTGAATGGCTAACCACGCGCTGAAGAGAAGGAAGTGAAAGGATCCCAGGAAACCATAAAAGATTTCGCTTAGGCAACATTGTCAAGAGCCTTGTAGAAAATGATAACGCATTTGGGGTTTCATTCATCTCACGGGCGGAGGAAAGTGAGGAAATTTTTAAGAGCACAAATGACAACGTCAGAGCTATGGTTTTGAAAGGAGGATCTAGGCAGAAGGATGTTTATCCCGTCCCTGTCAATCCTCATCCACCATCTTTTGGTTCTCTGGCTGCCTCAGTAGTTAACAGGTAACAAGAGATGCTATATCCGGGGACAGGAGACTGCCTTTCAACAGGGACTCCCTATCCTGGCCAAGGGCTTTGGCAAACATTACTCTAAGAAGAGCTGGAGCATTTCTTTTTTTCCTGTCGTACAAACATCATCACTGACAACAACAAAAACTCGAACCTCTCAGGATCAGCTCTGCCTCTATGGTTTTTATTTTTAGGAGATACAATTAGGAGTTAGTCCCTTCCCCCCATGAAGTGTCAATTTTTAAGATTTGCTGAAAGTAAACAGAAGAGATGTGCGTTCCCAAGTGGCTCGTTCTGAATTCTGAGCAGCTCTGAGTCCATATTTTCCTTCTTAAGCATACACAACAGTTGGGATCGCGCTTGGGAGAGGGCTGGGGAGTAGGACCAGGAAGGGGTTTTAAGAGGGGGTGGAAATGATCACTGCGTGAGCCACCTTTCTCCTCCCACTAAATGGACCTGAGCAAATACCGTTCTCGCTGCTCAACGTTTTTTTTTTTTTTTTCCTTTCAGAATGGACAGCAGCGCCCTGGCCAGGGCCCCAGGAGGACGTCCGCAAAGTTCCAGCCTGTCCGTGTCCCGCACGTTTCCGGGACCCCCTCCCCCTGTTCACCGTGCCAGGATGCACAAGCCGGAGGCGCTCCTCCGGGAACGGATCCAGGGACCGCTCCCACGCGCGGCCAGGCCATCCCAACCTTCCCTAGCCCACCCGACGGCGGCAGGCGCGAACGCTTACCGAGCCCGGCGCTGGGCGGGACCGCGGGGGACGCGCACGGCAGCTCCGCCTCAGCACCGCGGCGGCGGCGTCTCGGCCCGTCGCTCCCCTCAGGGCCGCCGCCCGGTCCGCTGCTCGAAGCCCCGCGGCGGCGGCGGCGGCCTCGCCTCCATGGCGAGGAGAAGCAGCGAAGAGAGGACTGGGCGGGAGGCTGCGATGGCGGCGTGGTCCAGGGGTCGGTGTGCTAGATACCCCCGCGGGTCCCTGTCAGCGCCTCGCTCGCCGCAGCCTCACTCCCGACGCGGCCTGGGCTGTAAGGCGCTTCGTCATTGGCCATTGAGAGACGGGCGCTGGTTCGCTGACGCTGGGCGGGCGTCTCCGCCTCCGCGGGCCCCACCCCTGCGCGCCGGGCTGCGCCGCGGAGTTCCCCAGGAGCCCAGGGGGTCTCCGGGTGGAGACTAGATGTTCCCCGTCCTCCGGAGGCGCCTGTCTCCTGGCTGCAACGTCTTCTACCTCGCTACAGTCCTAGGCCCCTGGGCATGGGCTTTCTTCCCAGTTTACAGATGAGGAAACTGACACCAGGCACAGCCACGCCAGTATCTTCCAGCTGGGGAGCTTAGGCACTTGAAAGCCACCTCTCCATCCCTTTCCAAATGTTATCCTTTCGTCCGTGAACTCTCCCTCGCCCTTGCTGCAAGATGCTTAAAGGACGAAGGATGTAACTGCGAGGAGAGAGGTATTTGCTTAGTCCCTAGGACGGGTCTGGCTCTGCGAATGTCATCTTAAATAAACCAGTCCACATCATCCCCACCCGAACCCCAGGGAAATCTCTCTTGCTTTCCAGATGTGCATGCTGGGCCTGACTTTCTAGACTGGGCCGAAGCACGGCACGTGGTGCTCTGCCGCGGGCGGGGAAGATGCCTTTTGATATATGGCTGGTGGTGGAGGCGAAGATCGAAAGCCCTAAGATCAGGGGCGCGGACACTGTTCTCACACGTCTGGGCGGCGGTCCCTCGCCTAGAGCTCCGAAGCCATCTGGCGGTGCTTCTGGAGGTAGCGGTTCCCAGTTGAACTCGCTTGCTGCAAGACCTGGGGCGCCAAGTTAGAACTCTGGAATAAGTGTGTGCTGACCAGAGCCAGAGCCTGGGGATGTGCGTTGAAATGGGCCTTCTTTAAACTTCCTTCCCGTAGGTAGTAAAACTCCTCCTTGAGTAAGACTTAAACGTTTGTGACTCAGGTTCTCCCTCAGCGGGGCCATCCCAGAGACAGCCAACCCGAGACCTCTCTATCCAGTCTCCTAAATGTCAGATTCCAGCCACTCCTACATGTCCAAGACGCTGATTTCCTGGGAAGTACAAAGTCTATCAGGGATGCAAATACACAGGAAATCGAAAAGGAACTAAATGAAAGTTCTGGTGTTCTACTAGAACTCGATGAAAATAAACAAAAACCGACACAAAGCAAAAAATCTGAAAACCACTAAGTGCAGGAGGGGCTAGCAATGAGAGCAGCCCTGTGGCCTTAGAGTAAACCCTATCAGTCAAGTTTTCCTTATCTACACCTAACCTACACTGCTTATTTCTATTTTTATTTGAACTTACAGCATCATAAAAGGATTTGCCATACTAATATTTGGTAACGTAATAAAAAGGAATAGAATAAGTGATTCTCCATGAGACCACGTGAAGGACACTACTGGATTTGACTACACTTGGGAGGACTTGTGGTAAGCTGTGGAAGTCAGAGTGCTGGATTTTCAGGTCTGCCTTGTGGTGAATGACCCGATCCTACCTGATTCTTCCTGGAACCTTCCTGGTACATGCAGCTTGGCAAAGTAACCCATTCTCAGAAAACTGCAAGTTTCTTTTCTCTATATGATAGTCAAGCAGTGTGTTTTTTGCATAGGGTAACAGAACTTCAGACCAAGGTTCTTTAGTGACCCACCCTGGGTAGGAAGGTTTACTGTAGACAACTACACAGAGGGTTGTTTTTTGTTTGTTTTAAGAACAGAGTCTTATTCCTAGCTGCCTTCCTGGTGAAACTGGCTCAGTTCTTGTCCTACTTGACTCCTGGTTCTTTTCAGAACCCCTACCCCATCAGCAAAGCCAAGAGTTGTCTTGGGAGACAAAAAAAGAGGAGCGAGACAAGAGAAGGCTAAGTTTGTGCCGCCCCCCCCCCCATGGCACTGACACCTGCAGGTGAGAGCTGGAGTTGCAGGACTGGAGGACGGGATTAACTGTTTCCTAAAGAAAGTCACTTCCCCCTCTAGCCACTTTTCTTTTTTTCTTTTTCCTTTTTTAAATATTTATTTATTATGTATACAATATTCTGTCTGTGTGTATGGCCAGAAGAGGGCACCAGACCTCATTACAGACGGTTGTGAGCCACCATGTGGTTGCTGGGAATTGAACTCAGGACCTTTGGAAGAGCAGGCAATGCTCTTAACCACTAGCCTTCTCTCCAGCCACTTTTCTGTCTAGAGAATGGGACAAAGTGTTGTCCTCTCAATAATCCTGGGTGTAGACCATGTGCTGGCTGCCACAAGGAGCGAGTTAGAGGAGATATCGGCTCTCAGGAGCCCCACTCTGGGGTGTAGACGGACACCAGACAAATTCACGAGAATGTTCGCTGAAGTGCTGACATGAAACTGAAGCCAGGGAATATGAGAGTGGAAATAAATGAAGACCAAGTGCTGTTCAGGCCACTGTTCACCTCCTGAGGGTCATTGGCTCAAGTTTTGTAACTAAGAGCACACAGGCTTTCTGTCCTAACACACTATAGCCACCATCAGACAATCTAGAAGTGTTTCTGTTCTTGGTCCCAAGAATGAATACTTGCCCAGTCCATTAGATAAGACTTGATCCCACCCAAGACCACAGACACGGGTCTGCTTGTACAATTCTCAAGATAGAAGACAATTTATACTAATTTCAGTTTAGCAAATAGAAGAAAAAGTTCCTACTTTTGGTTTTTACGTTGCAGTAAAAGGAATAGAGAACTTGGAGAGTCAATGCTTGGCAAGTATTCTACTTTTGAATTAGTCCCAAGTACCACAATCCTAAACTTTGAGATATCATCTTACACCTGTCAGAATGGCTAAAATCAAAAACACCAATGATAGCCTTTGCTAGAGAGGCTGTGGAGGAAGGGGTACCCTCATCCATTGCTGGTGGGAATGCAATCTTGTGCAACCACTTTGGAAAGCAGTGTTTCGGTTTCTCAGGAAATTCGGGATCAACCTACCCCTGGACCCAGCAATACCACTCTTGGGAATATACCCAAGAGATGCCCTATCATATGACAAAAGCATTTGTTCAACTATGTTCATAGCAGTATTATTTGTAATAGCCAGAACCTGGAAACAACCTAGATGTCCTTCAATGGAAGAATGGATGAAGAAAGTGTGGAATATATACACATTAGAGTACTACGCTGCGGTAAAAAACAATGACTTCTCTAATTTTTAGATAAGAATATTTCTAAGTGTATCCACTTGTGAAAACTCAGTAAATGTGCACTTTGAGATCTACGTATATCCTGAGGTGGGTAAGTATACAGTCTCACCCCTAACCAAAGAACTATTTGCAATTGATTCCTGCTGGGAAAGGAAAAATCTGTTCTCTCAAATGGAGCGTCATTGGGTATATCCACCTCACTCCAGGGCTGACCCTATGTCCAGGAGTAGGTGGCCAACACAAAACTGACTCCATGTTTTGTTTTGTTTTTTTTTGATGCACTTTTTGGTTTAGTATTTTCTATCTTACTGGTGTTTTTTCTTTTTCTTTTTTTTTTTTTTTAGTTTGTCTTGATTTTCCTTTTTTGCTTTTGTTGGTCTTAAGGGAGAGACAAAGAAAGAACATGAAGTTGGATGTGTAGGGAGGTGGGGAGAATCTGGGAGAAGTTGGGAAAGGGAAACATGATCAAAATATAGTGTATGAAAAAGTTAAAAAAAAAGAAAAAGTTATGGCTTAACAGTGATGTTTGTGTGTCAAGATGACAAGGGCTCAGTTGGGCTGGCTGGTATGTGCTGCATTCACGCAAAGTCCTCTGCTTTTAATCTTTAATAACTCTCCCTATGGACAAGTCCAGTGCCTTATACATGTACTTTTTATGAGATTGTAACTGTGTCCATATGCCATTGTTGTAATTTCTCGTATATTTCTATGATTTCAGGTATACTGTTTACTGTTTGCATGTTACTTTGGGAGTGAGGCTTTATCATGCACACTCTAAAAGCACTGGCTAGTTCTTCTTTCCCAGAAAGAACTGCTTTTCACTAAGAGCTCAAATGTCTGCAGCAATCTTCCAAAGGGCATCAGGAGATACTCGAGCAGTAAAGACCTGTGAGGCTGACTGGGGAGAGAATGTGTCCAGAATTAGAGGTCCTTTTCCTTCCCTGGAGGTGTCTGCTTGTTCCAAGAGAAGATTAAGTCAAACTTACTCCTCAAATGGACCACAATCTTCCCAGAACCTTGCACTCCCTATCAAGAGGTGAGACTATTTCCTGTTGCAATAGGTGAGGGAGGTTTGGAAGACTACAGTCAGAATGTGGTGGGACAAGCTGGACTTCAATGCTAGATTAAGAAAGGTGACAAATTCCACTGGCTACCCACAGAGCATACTTGCCCTTGGTTGTTAGGTGCACCGGGCTGTAGCTGTTCTGGTCCACAACCAGACATAAAAATGAGCAAGCCCTCAGGTGGTTTCAGTCCCCAGCCACCAAGTCCCCCTCAGCCTTTGAGCTTTCTTTCAGGGATATCCAGAGCTACAAGCCAGGTATAGGCATCGCTGTTGAATCCTGTCCACCTTCTTGACCCACATAACAAACTGCTCTCAGAGTAAGAAGTTGTTTTACAATGAAATAAATTTTTTTGAAGGATTTTCACAAAACTGCATTTGCAAATTAGATGGGAATAAAGGAAGTGCTACCTTACCAAGCCCAGACTTTGTTGTTTTGTTTTTTTTGAGATCGGATCTTGTTATGTAGCCCAGGCTGGTAGCAGTCATCCTACCTCTGCCTCATCAATACAGGGATTTCAGTCTTGCACCACCACAGCCATTATTTATTTATTGGAGCCAGGGTCTTATATATCTCCTATGCTTGTCTTGAACTCACAGCAATCTCCCTGCCTCAGCTTTCCAAGTACTGGGATTACAGGGATATGCCACCATGCCTAGCCTCTCCTGTACTTTGCAAAGATAGTTAGGACTAGGAGTGTTAAAGGGGGAAATGTCAGAAGCTCTGGTGAGGTCCTTTCCTTAGGCTTTGGTTTCTTCCTGCTAACAAGTGTGTGTGGGGGGGGAAAGGACTCACCTCATTGACAGTGG